GACAAAGAACTTGGTTTGCTCAAAGCTGGAGTTACCAAAGGTTGAACGGTCTTGGATAGAAAACTACCTGAATTGTCTTAAAGTTGTCTTACACAAATGATACAATGAGGGTAATAAACTTTTTGATTTTGGCGATGATTATTTTTGAAATTTTAATTTTTAAATTATCAGATATTGATCAACGCATGAATAAACATATCACGCAAAAAAAGCATATCACACTGGTGACTAGTATTTTTTTGATTAGTATTTTTGTTTTTATTTAGCATGCCAAAACAGGAAAAAAATCATGATGACAATTTGATGACACAATTTTCGCAAAATATATGAAATAAGTACGAGTAGTAATTTTTCATAGACTTAGTTTATGGAATTGTATGATTAGCATTTTTGGTCTATGCAGGTCAACCCGGGCTATTACAAATTTTCGCATCGCGGAACTTATTGATTAAACGTAACGCCAAATGCTCAATTGACGCAATGTTTAAAATGTTTTTAAGGAAACGACGGTTAACTAAATTTTTCAGGATAAATGTTCGAATTCTGAATGAATTTTAATTTCATGAAAAGCTTTTCTTCATTTCGAGGCCACTTCTTGATTTGAATGGGTATCAAATTAACTTAATATTTTTATTTTCTTGGCTTTTTCCCATGATAGCCCCATATCTCAAGCAAAATAACATTCTTATAATAGATTTAACTTGGTGTTGAGGTGGCTATAATTTTAATTTTTTGTTACTAGACTGGCAATACAATAATGGGATATAGCCCTATCTCTAACTTTGCTCGGTTTTAATTTCCTCATAATCCAGTAAGTGTGATCAGCTTTTTTTTCAAAAAATTAATCTAAGCAGCACGTAAAGAAAAAGAAGTTCAGTTTCTGCAAATTAAGGTTTTGCAAATCAATTGAATTCATCAAAAGATTAAGTGTTCAGTGAAGCAGTCAAGCTATCAAAACAATAAGAAATGGTTCCAAATTTGACGACTTGAATTGTTTTCTTCTATCAAATTTTTGCGTACAAAATCAAGTAGTCAGAACATTTAACTTTTAAGTAACCAATTCGAACCACCAAAAAAATTTGAATAGGTTGCTTTGAAAATTTTACTTTTGGCGAACCATTTATAAAAGTCAAAATAAATTTTTTTGCGAACAAATTTTAACAATCGAAACAACTTGAACAGTTTCAAACTTTATCTGCTTGACTGGCGTAATTGAAAAAAATTTTTCGCGAACTGATTCAAACTTTGAATGAATTTAAATTGTTTTACGTTTTCATCGAATGAAAAGCTCGTTTGGTAAAATTTGAAGTTTTTTTAATCCACTTTACGCTATGAAACACTAAAATGTTTTTAAGTGTTATTTTAAGTGTTATTAAGATTAACTCCAAAATTACAACTGTTGTGGCGAACTGTTGCGGATTCACCTTATAAAATATTCTGTCAAATTCCCCATTGCTGAGGTTGCATCAAAAATTTTGAAATTTAAAAACGTTTTTGGAAATGAAAAAACCTAAATAATCGAGATATTTTTGCTTAAGTACCTTATTATTAAAAAAAATTTCAGTTTTGGCGCCACAATTGTAAATTGACAGCTTGCTTCAAAAAATAAACGTATAGAAAACAAAAAAGCTAATTAATACAATTTAACTGGTTTAAATAGTATGTCTTGTTTTGTTTCCTTCAAAAAATTTCAAGTCTTGGAACCAATTCAACTTAAAAAACCTCTCAATGTTTCAAATTTTCTTCTCTTGACTGACTTGCTTCACAACGTAGTCGAAAAAGAGTTAAGCAAAGTGACCATGAAATCAGATAGCGTAAAAACAATGACCGAATTTCGAAAAGATTTCTCGTTTTCTAAGAAAACTTGTGATGAAAAATGTTTTTTTTTAATGGACATTTTTATTGACTTTTGTTGATGAAATACATTCAATTTGCAGCATATCATTTTTGAGGTGGGTTAGAGGTCCCCACAGATAAAAGTTTTTTAAACAACGGAACGAAACAATTAGTTTTCCAATTTGTCACTTTCAATTGTTCTAATTTTTGCATCCATCTCTGAGTTGGCAAAAAATTTGAGCTGATCAAGTGAACGCTTTTCAGATAGTTGTTTGGGCAGTTTTGGACATTTTATCATTTTCAGAAATGTTTTCATAATTTTATTTTTCATGAAAACCGGTTGAATTTTTTGTATGTTCACTCATACATTTCTACGCCAGTCGTCTGGAGAAACCATTTTGATGATATCGTCTCGGTGAGAATGAAATTGTTGCAATTGAAGAAAATAAATTAATTTGAAATTTTGACGCTTTTTCGATGACTTTTTCGTAAAAAAAAGGTAATACTATAAAATAAAATCAAGTAAGCAACGTTTTGACTTCGAAACCAGTGACGCGTTTGTTGCTAGACACATGACACTAGACACATGTGTCAAAATCAAAAAGGTGTATTTCCAGTAAGGCGATGTATCAGTAATTTATCATATCAGTAAATCGAATTATCAAACAATTACGTAACAATAACTTAACATTTACGTAACCGATTGTGCCAAATTAAGTACTAACTCAGCTCAGAATAAAAGCTTCAAGGATCAAATTGAAAAACGTTCCCTAGATTGACTGCAGTAATTTCAATTTCTTAGCTGTGTAACTTAATTTACAACAATGCTAAGCAAAATTCCTGGCAACTAATAAAAACGTTAGTTTGAAAACGTTGTTGCTTTAAAAACATCGGTTTCGGTTTATTGTATGTAATAAGACTTTCTACCTTTGATGACATTTTATTGAAGCTTGAAAACAAAATTTTAGATTGTAGAAAATCGTCGGAGCAAAAACTCGAGTTCCGTCTAGTAAAAAAACTCGAGACTTGAATCAAGCAAAATTTGATGAAGTCCTAAATGGCGTATTGTTTCAATTGGTTTTTTTTAAATTAACATTTTGTAACTAAACACCACGATCATTCTGTTTGTTTATATTCTGTTACTTTGTGAAAAAAAATCGAAACAATACGCAATTTCGGAATTAATCAATTTTTTTTTCCTGATTCAATTCAAAGGTGAAAATTTATCAGACTGCAAATTAGCTCAACGCTTTCAAACAGATGACAAGTCAGCGGTCAGCAGTATATATAAATCACACGCACAAAATAGTCAGGCAATTCCTGCAAATTCAAAACTAAAACCACATGCTCACAAAAATTGCCAAAAAAAGCAGGCGATACTTTTGGTTCTTTTGAAAAATCTAAACTTCCTTGGTTTTGTATTATCCTTCCGTATTATATATAAATCGCACAAAGCGCACACACAATAGTCCGGCAATTCCTGCAAATTTGAAATTAAAACCTTCGCATGCTTACAAAAAATGCTAAAAATTGCAGGAGGCGATAGTTTTAGTTCTTTTGAAAAAATCTTTTAACAGTCTTTTCGGATGCAAGTCCACCTTTCCTCAAGAATTTGGTCCCCGACCACTCAAAAGGTTTCTTTTTGAAACTACTTTAGGGCAGGCATCTTCAATCGATCGTGCCTTAAACTGTTCAAAGGTGAAATTTATATCAATTTTCAAGTAGAGCGCGCGCAAAAAAAATTATTTTTTAACCGAAAATTTTCAAAACAGCAATTTGGGCTAATTTTTCATTATTATTAACTCACCTGCAGCCAGTAGCGGATATAGAGGGCCGGGCGGACGTTCCACTGAAGGATTCAACCCGTTGACGATCCAAAGGGTCCGCCCTTTGGAACTATTTTAAGACATCAATTTCGGCTGACCAACTCTAAAATTTTCTAAAGGCGCCGGCGAAAAGGGAGCGCGCGTCGAAAATAATGCTTTTTTTGTCAAAATTTAACAAAAAAATTGCTAAAAACGCTTTTTTGCAGCGCAGAAATTTAATTCCAAATGTGGTTTTTATTGTGATTTGGGAGAGCTCGGGAAATCAGTTTGGTTAAACTAAAAAAAGATAGACAATGTTTTCGATAAAATCCTAGGTCCACCCCTGCCTGCATGCCTGCAGCATAAACAAATAGCAAAATCGGGTGCATTAGTGTTTTGGGAAATCTCCGGAAATGAAATTAGTGGACCTAAAAAAAGGTCAACGTTTACAAAATAATTTTTGCAAATCTGCCCCATACGTTGTCAAAAAAGATTATTATCAGCAGACATGGAGTCATTTTGGAGTGTATCGAATGGAAAAGCAAAAAGCATTACATCGAAGTGGCTTAACATTAGTCGACAATATAATTTTTTAGATAACATTTCTATGACACTTCTGCTTTCAGCTTTCAATAAGACAAAACAAGGCTCAGATCTCGGCTTTTTGCAATTATGATGGGCGGTTTTTCGGGAAAAATACTAAATCATGCAAATTGGAGTTTTGAAAAACCTAAAATTTTTTAGGGTTTTCTTTAAGTTGTGCAAATCCTATTATCCTAGCAGGTCCCAGCATCTTTAGAAAAATTTCATGGTTGTTCTGCCGTGAAAGGATATGTTAAAATAGTTCTAGAGGGGGATGGATTTTTTTATATCCTTGGGTGACAGCCCTCACACAAATCACCCGCCTCCTAAATCCGCTACTGAACAAGGCTGCCGTTCAAAATTGGAAACGCTTTTAGAAAATAACTTTGTTTTATACACAGAATAAAGCACATAGTTTTATATTTATAGCAAAAATTGCCTTGTCTGAGAATCGAACCTTAAACATGAAGAACCTCGGATGCAAAGCTTAACCAAATGAATATAAGCACTGCTTCTTCAAATATGAACTCGCCAAAACTCATAAAACAAAACTCATAAGACTTCTTCAAAGCCTCTACATACTATTGAGTATCAGTATCATAACACCAATTTGTTAATCAAGGTTATTTTTAGCCAATAGATGAGAAAAACTTAGAAAACTGGCGCTAAGAAACATTACAAGTAAACTGGCGCTGGACTTGTTTCCGAAGGTCTAGTCCGAGCTGCTTGTGTGTCAGGCTGTTTGATTTATGATTGTGGAAATGTGGAGGAGATTACCTGGACTTCCCTGGCGTGGTAAGTGACTATTAAGGCGACCAGCACCAGCGTGCTTCCAGTGATGAGGCACTTCAGACTAATCGATACCCACTTGCTCAGCTCTTTGTCCTGAACAAAAACTTATCAAATCAAGCGTCAAAAGTAACCCAGAGCATTTTCAAATGAACAACAATCAATTCACATCTACTATACCAATTGCAAAAATTTGGAACAGGCAAAAATAATTTTAAAAAGCTATTTGCCATTTTTGATCAATTTTTGCATTCGAAATTTGAGAAATTTGTAGGTGACCTTGAGGCATATTTTTTGAAATGTTAGCTTTTGCATGTAAAAATTGTCTGAAATAGGTAATTTTATCTTTGTAATTAATTTTGTCTGTTCCAATTTTTTGCAATCTTTATATTTGGTACTTTTACCTTTACTTAATAGCACATATGGACTACCAAATTGTCCTGGAGAACTCTTTTTTTTCAGTGCCTTAATATATTAATTTCAACTGCTGCTTCATTTTCCAGTTAAAATAAAAAACCTAATTTCGTCAGTTTGATGTATTGTTTCCTTTTTAATGATATATTTTACTTTATGCATAATTGAATATCTGATTACTGTGCACGAGAGCACAAAAGATTCGATCGCAATCATCTTTGCAAACAACAAAAAATAACAAGAAACAAAGTGAAATTTGAGAACCTCAAAGTGAAAAAAAAAATCATTTTTTTTGTATTGTGTCTTATGTTTTGTTCTTTGTTTACAAGGCTTAAGAAAAAACAAAAACATACTTTTGAGTTCTCGTAGTTTTTTGCTAAATATCGGAAAACTAACAAAAACTGAAAACTGAAATTAAAAAATCATCAGATCATTTTTTTGACACTGAGGAAATTTTTTGCGAACTTGCAGTCCAATTTTTGAGCAAAAGAGCCTTAAAATGATATTTTAATCGACCTTGTTGACGTGTGGTGCAGTACCTGATTTAACGCGATAAAAATTGATCACAAAGTTTTCTCTAACATTTGGTGATCGGAACAATAAAGCTGCTTGTACTTGAGATCACGTTTTTGGGATATAGGAACAGAAACTTAAGTATTGTTTATAATGCATAGATTCTCGCAATGAATAAATGCAGCTTATTCAATCAATAGTTTCAGATGGTAAACAAATTGTTAAAACAAATTGTCAAAACAAATTGTAAACAAATTGTGAAAATCGAAAAATGTCAGAAGTAAAAAAAACTTAAAGCACAAGTACTCCACTTATCCTTTGAAGCGAGAAAAAAACATTCAACAAAAGTCAAGCCTTTCCATACTTTTTCATATCCCAGAAGCTCTTACCTCTATATTTCGAAAGTAAATGAACTGAAGTATGTAATATTAGCGAGGATAAATTAGCTACTGCTGTTGTTGTTGCAATGAATATCAAACCAATCTAGATAGAACTTTATCTAGGACCATTTGGTTTTTAGCTTCAGTTTTAAATGTAAAAGTTTATTTTTTTTTTACAATTAATGTTTTCAGTTTGACAACATTTTCTGTACCAAATCTGGATTTTCAGAATATCAACCATCCGCACTCATTAAAAAAATTTAATTCTTAAAATATGGAAAATTTTTGGACATGATCGATTCAAAAATTATTATTTTTTTTTGAAGTATTAAATTTTTTCTAATAATTTTTTTAAATTGAAAAAATAATTGATTTTAGTTCTTTATAATCAGTTATAAATTGTTCTAATCAATATCTTTTTCAATAAAAGTTCAAGCTATTTTATTGAGTTATAATCAAAAAAAATTGATTTTCTAATCCCTTTTTCATTTTTTGTTATAGTTGAGAAACCAATTTAAGAGTTTTCAAATCAATTCAACAAAAAAAAAATTTTTCATCAATTTTTTTAAGTTAAATTTTGCTCATGTAATGATTTTTGCTCTTTTTCACCACCGAACTATGAGCACATTGTCTTAGTTTGATGATTATTTTAAGATGTATCAAAAGGTAACAAGACATATCACGTGTCAAAATTTCCCGATTGACATAAAAAAAACAATCCAAAAGGTAATTTTGAGATATATTTGTGTTGTAATAACATTTTGGCAAAATACAAAATGGCAATGTTTAAAATCAATTTTCGAAGACTTCCTACAAAAATTACAATTATTTGTAATGCATTATCATTATTTTTTTTCAAAAAAATTCAGTTTAAAATGAAATATAAATATAAATAGTTTAAGTAATAATGAATTTTATAAAACTACAGTTAAAATTGCAATTCAATCCATTATGATGTGTTTTAACTGAGTGCGGAAAGTACTTTTGCACTACATTTTTTGGGTCTGTGTTTGATTCAATAAATAATTTTTCACATCAATAATTATTCTTCTAATTTAAATCTCCACTCTGAAAACGGTTTTCAGCTGATTATAAATTTGTAGTCAAACTTGCACTTCCTGAATCAAACTTGAATAGTTAATAAGACACACTTTTTCTCCATACAAATTTGAACGACTCGATATTTAATTTTTGACGGAGTTTTTTTCTAGATCATCTGAAAATCTTAAAAACGATCGACAACTTGGCCTCAAAATTAAAAAAATTATTTTGTTTGTGATTTATTTTTTCAAATTTATGCTTGCTTGAAATTTTTGTTACTTATTGATTTATGCAAATTTTTTTATGGGGTCTTGTGAAAATTATGGATGCCTGCAAATTTCAATATGTGCTCTTGACATGCCTGCACTCAAAAAAAATTGATACTAAATTTAGGCTAAATTTTGAGTAAAGACGACTTAAAGAATATAAACTATTTAAATGGTATTAAAGTTTTTAAATTTTTTAAAAGTTAAAACTTATTTTCATTGATTTTAATCAATGATATTTGATTCTAGACAATTTTTTTTAAAAAAATGTTTAAATTTTTATTTTTGAGCTTAGTCAATGCAAATCGAATTATTTTTGTCCGGAAGTCAGTAGTTTTCAAATCAATTCAATTATATAGGCTTTCTTTTCAATTTTTTTTTTCATTAAATTTTGTGAATAAAAGTATTTTTTTTTGTGACCACAAACTGAGCACATTGTCTCAGTTTGATGGTTATTTCAAGATTAACCAAAAGGTAGGAACACATCTCACTTCTAAAAATTTCTTGATTGACGCTAAAATTGTATTCCATTTGAGGACATATATGTGATTTAAGGGAAATTTAACAAAATACGACATTGTGAATTATTTTAGAATCATTTTTCCAAGACAATCTAAACAGTTTTTTTTTCATTTTTAGTTAATCATAAATAGTTTTATTTTCATCAAAAAAGTTTTCATTTTAGTGAATTACAAAAGGCAAAAATACCTAAGTTTTTTTTAATTGATTTCTATATTTTTTCTAAAACAAAAATTATAACTGTAATTTAATCAATTATGATCTGTTTTTTACTGAGTGCTGGAAGTGATTTGGTTCACTTTTGTTTGGTTTGTTTTTGTTTCGAAAAGTGTTTTATTAACCAAAATCTATTTATTTAATTAAATCTGCAATCAAAGAACGACGGTTTTCGAGCTAAGTAATTTTTGACTCATCTTGAACATCAAACTTCAATAGTTAATAGAAACAATTTTTTCTTTACACAAATTTTGACTTCTCAATTTTCAAAATGTGATAGAATTTTGGATACTATCTAAAATATTTCAAATTTTGTGATAGTTGGAGCTCAAAATAATAAAAAAATTATGTTGCTTGCAGTTGTTTTTTTTCCAGAGTTATGGTTGCTTGAAAACTTTTTCAATATTGAATGTTTTTAAAATTATACTTTTTATGGGGTCTTCCGACCTTCATGTGTGCCTGCAATTTTTTTTGCATTTGTAATGGAAATGCTTGCACTCAGTAAAAAGAGTTTGTTAATCGTTTATTTGGTATTTTTATTCTTTTTTCTGAGTGTGCTTTTGTTTTTCCAACACAGAAATGAATTCTAACATTTTAAAGGGCAATCAGCTTATTCAAGATTTAGGTCTGATACAAGCAGACTTGTTTTATTTTTTGGTCTGGCATTTTGGTCTGGCAAAACTATAAGACAATAAATTTCTAAGCAAGCACATGTTCTTACTAAATCTGCCTTTTTCCAGCTTTGCTTTACTACGATGGTCACTGTAAACAATAACATCGAGGCGGAAATTTATGATTTAATGAACTGCTGCATTGAAGTAGGCATCTGGTAGATTTGCAAAGAAATTTGTTTTACAATAATATTCATAGAAAAAAACAATGCGAATACTTGTAAGCAATAGCAAGCTTAAAAAACAAAAGAGTTTAAAAAATATTTTACAGAAACGAAAAACTGCTCACTAAATGTGTTCATAAGACTAAGAAACAATTTAAATTAAAGTAAATTCCAAAACAACATTTGTGCTTGGTTTTTTTTATAACGAAGTCAATTTAGTGCCAATCTGGTAGATTTGCAAAAATAATGGTTTACAAATATATTCATCAAGAAGAAAAACAAACAATGCTCTAATTTTGAAAACATACATTTTGGACAATATGTATGTGTTAAATTCCGAGTTCTACGAAATTAATACGACCGATTAGCCAGCCTCAATTTAGAACAATATTGTTGTGCGGGTTGATTCGCCTCGCATAAATATTTCGCATTACGCTCTCAGCATTGTGAACATACTCTTCAAAGCGCGCATAATTTAGTCCAGAACTTGGCGATTTTCAAACCCTCAGATTTTTACAAAAAATATCTTTTTAAATTTGAACTTGGGAAGTCGACATTTTCAATGGCGCAGAAACGTTTTTTTATTTCGATCGGCGAAGTTTGACTGATTAAAAAAATCAGACCGAGCATAAATATTCCGGTTTCTTCAAAAGTCAGAACAATTAACATTTGAAGAATTTTGATATGTACGATTTCATTTATACAGTCTACAAAATAATGATACAGGCAAGCCAACATACTTCTGATCCACTCTGCAAAAATTGCGTAGAGCGTTGCACATACATCAAACATGTATTTAAAAAATGAACTTAGTTGTTAAAAAATCATACTAACTCATTTTGTATGCTGTTACAATTTTATTCAGAAAAAATATGCATCATTACATAGATAAAAGTCAGAATTATCTAAAAGTAAAATAAAATCAAAAGCTTGATGAAAAAATGATCATCCCCTCATAATTTTTTAAAAAAAGAAAAAAGAAAAAAATGATAATAATTTAAAAGAAAAATTTTGCGCCTCAAAAGCAAGAATTTCAGATCCAATTACTTGCTTTCTTTGTTGCAACCACAAAAGAATTGATGGAAGTAAACTTTGATTCCTTCCCGCTCAAATTTAGGAATTTCATTGATTCCAAAAACCCTATGTGTTTTAAATTGGATTCCAAAAATTGTCATAAAATCGTATCAAATTTGAGAAAAACTGTTTTGATAGTTTTTCTAAGACTCAAATCGAGTTAGTGTGTAAGAAATTTCAGACGCGTCTAAATGAAATGGAAAAACTGATTTTAATGTATTCTTGTGTTGTAAAATGTTGTTAATATAAACGATTCTCTTATTGCCTTTGGGCAATGAAATGGATTGTAAATCCGTTGTAACTGAAAGTTTTTTGAAATTCAACTTAATTAAAATTCATTTAAAATCCATTTAAATGGATGTTTTATTTCTTCATTTTTGATTTGCATCGTGTGAATGACAATTGGTATTTATTTTTAGTATCTCAAATGGAACTTTTTTTCATCCAATCCAGCTATGTTTAGAACCACGACCACATACCCCATTTCCCCTTGACAGTTACAACCTCCACCACTCCCCTCATGTCCTCTCCCCCACCTTCCTTTCCATCGCGTTTACCCCACTGTTAAGCAAAAAATAAATAATTTTAAAAAAATATGATAAGAAGCAAAAATTCAAAACAAAATCTTTCTAGATCAAAAAGTAAATTTCAATCTAAAAAATTATTACAAAAAAGGATATTCAGGAGGTGGAAACCCAAAAAGTTAGGTATATTATGAACTTTTGAGCTTAAAAGCATTTTGAAAATTATGCGAAATGAACATGAAGTGGAAACAACACTATTTGTATCAGGGGGATTGTTTATCCAAATCGGCCAAACTGAAAATGTTTGAACCCTAATACTTTTGTAAAAGAGATTGCAGGTCATCATAATTTCAAAACTGAGCTCAAGTAATAAACAGTGCTCAATTTAAATTAAAAAACCCGCTATAAGTGGCTAGTTAAAGCGCCAAAATTTGTGTAGAGAAAAACCATCCCTCCCGGGCACAATTCTCCCGTCGTTTTCTTCAAAAGTCGGAACAAAAAGATGATTTTGATGGATTTTATTGGTTTTGGTACTTTCAAATTATATTCAATTCTTAATACTGTGTAATCAGATTTTTACGGTTTTTGTAGAGACAGTATTTTTGTGGAGACATTTATTATCCATAGAATTTCAAAGGGGCAGACTTTTCATTTCAACAGAATTCTTACCTTCAAAAAGTATACATATAATCAAGCTCTTTATTTCATTGAAATAAACCGTTTTCCTTGGTTTCAAATTTGAAACGAATGTAGTAATATAGTAACCAACCATGGTTTTCTAAAATCTAAAAATTCGAAGATTTATGATTTATACTTTTTTCTGTTCAGAAAACTTATTTAGGCTTTGCCAGTTTTGTGATCGATCCTGACACATTTCTCCGTAATATTTTTGGCAAAAAGCACTTTCGGAAAAAATGAAAAAACACTTGCAACCTTTCTAAATTATTAAATTTCTTTGAGTTGTTATCCTGGGTTTGGGCAGAAACATTTGAATATAAAGTGTACGTAAATCATTTTTAACTTAAATAATACGGCAAAAAATATGAATTGCCCCACGCTCGCTCCCCCCCCCCCTCAAAATTAGAAATTTTTCAGTAACGGTTTGGTTTTTATTCAATAGACAAAATGGTCTCAAAAAACAAGGCGAAAGGGCGTTCGAATTTTGAGAGTGGAGGGTAATTATGACGGTACTGTAATTTTTTGGCTATTGAATTCAAATTTACGCAATCGATTGGCTTAAATAATTGAACACATTTTTCTCACTATGGATAAGTTTTTGAAAGTTTTTCTTATCAATGCTGAAACCTCTTCAAGATGGGAAAATAATGGACCTAATGTGATATAAATTGAAAGAAAAAGCCACTCATATATTTTGTTGCACTTGAATGTTTTTGGATAGGAGCAATTAGCGCGTAGCCAAAACTCTTCATCAGTTCAAGTGGGTGCGTATCTAGAAACTTCTAAAGGGTGGGGGTGGTTTTCATTAAAAAAAATTGAAGCTTAAAATATCATAAAGAAGCTAAACAAGCAAAACTCCATCCTTGAAGCCCACCCCTGACGTCATAGGTAGAGAAAGATCATTTTTAAAAGATAAAAAGAATTTCGTTTCAAGTCTATACAAACTCGTATAATTTTTGACAATTCTTATCGAAATTTTACTCGCGCGACCAGGCTCACCTGAAAAAACGGTTGTTTATTTTTGCGTTATTTTATGCGATTGCGCGCTGTTCAATCGAGGCTCATCAGGCATCATGAAAAAGTATTTTGAAAGTTTTTATGTATTTTGAATCACGGCTGAAAGGCCTTAGTATATCACTCGACTCATTTCAATGAAGGTTTTTCTTATCTGATTTTGCTTGAAAACAAAAAAAAAGAAAAAAGAAAAAACTTAAACCCACCCGAAGGCAAATGTACTCCCCATTTTAAAAAGTAGGAACAAGAAGAAATAGGTTTTAACAAGTTTTCTTAAAATTACTAAGTTAAGGGCCTTAGAAAGTGCCACACCAGATGCATCATCGGATGCAATTTCTCGAGTTTGGTCGAATCAATTTCTAACTTTAAATTATGCAAGCGGTCAGGACAAAAACTAATTAAGTTGAAGTTTTTGATGGCATGTTTCCTCTGAATACTTTGAAATTCTAATTTCAGGTTTCCGAATCAGACTATTTCTAAAAACTCGCAATTTGTATATGCTTCTATAAGAACTGACTACAAAATGAAGAGACTACAAAACTGATTACAAGCTTAATTGAGCTTACGTTGTTCTGTGAGCTACTTCCCAAATATAATTACTTATCACAGTCTTGATTGAGTTTACTTTGTTCTGTAAACTGGTTACCAAAAATAACAAGGATAGCCGGTTACTGTGCAATTAGCACAGCAAGTTCCGACCAGTCTTAAAAAAAAAGAAGTTTTTTGTTATACTCATTTTTCGGCATAATGCGATAAAAGGATCTGAGCAAAAAAACAAGAGATTAGGCATATTCGACAATCATATTAAAATAAACAATTTGAGAAAAAAATGCAGAAAAATGACTAGTAAATTCTTTCAATTTTCTTTTTGATTTTTTGAATTTATGAAGTTTTTGATTCCAAAAGGTGCTAAAAAACTAATGGTCCTCGAGTATAAATAATTATACGTTTTAAATTAAGCTATTGCAAGTCTTCAGCCATTAAAACTAGTTATTGTAAGCGTTCTCGCTCGCTTTATTCGCTCGAATTAAGACGAAAAACCAAAAAGTTCAAACCGGTTTTTTTTCGACACTGGGAAAATTTTTCGAATTATGTAATGTCGTTCGAATCACGACTAAAAGGGTTTTGATTTGATATATCACTCAACTCTCTCCGATGACTATTTGTGGAAGCTGATTTCGCGTGGAAAAAAAAGAAAAAAAGAAAATAACTAAAACACACCCGAATAAAGTTCCTCTCCATTTTTCAAATGGTTGGAACAATAAATGTTGGTTAACTAGTGAATAGTTAATTAAGTTTGGAACACTTACCAAAATTTGATAGGAAAGTTCGTGTTCCAGCACCATAAGTGAAATTCCGATGAGAGAAAATAACATGGCATAGTCGCTTAACTTCTTGCGCTTTTCAAATAGTGACCGACGGAAACCCAGTCTGTAACTGGCATGTGCCTGGGTCTGTTTGCTTTCCTTCGAGTGCAAGTGTCCCACCGGAGGCACCGCCGCCCCTAACTCCGTCCCGACTGCCGATGTTTTCTGGTTACTAGAGGCACTGAGTTTGTTAATACTGATATTGGAATCTAACTTCAGCTCTACGTTTCCCGTGTTTGAAACGATACTCGCTCGTTTAGCGTACTTTTTAATAAGACTTGGCGATCCTGGTGCTTGAGAAGCGGAAGATTGCCGACGATTGTTCGCCATGTCCTGTTTTTTTCTAGGATCTCTTGGACTTCCACGATTAACTGACCCGTTTGGAAAATAAACTTGGTTTCCTGCCGGTTTATACTTATCAAAGTGTTTAATACTGCTAGAACTACTGCGTAAGCTATTCTGTCTATTATTTGCACTATTGCTGGGAGGTTTTCGACCAGAAGATCGCGTAGGTAACTGAGAAACGGACCCTCGGCTGCCTCTTAAAAGGGACTCCATAGGGTCGTCGGCTTCGTCAGCATACCTGGAATCTTCTTCATAGTTCTGCCTTAAGGGGTCCAAGGCACGGAAAGATGTCTTTTTATTACTCTCCCCTTTTTTGCCCAAATTCTGATTATCTGAGGCGGATACTGGGATGAAAAATAAAGGCTGGTCTTCCGTCGGGGCCATCATGACGTCATCGGAGTGTTTTGCGAGGCTGTCTTCGCCCGCTTCGTTTTCGTTAAAACTAGAGCAACATGTGTCGTATGAGGAACCATTCTGCGAGTATAAACTGTTAGTCGTGGCTCCTCCGCCCGTGTCTACGCTACGACTTTTCTCCAGACAGGCCATTTTGTTCATGCTTTTGCGACTTACGGGACCAAGACAGTGTCGTAGTTGCAGATTTCGGTTAGGGGAGCGTTTCGTGTGATGCCGACAATGACTCGCACTCGTGGGCTCGGACGAAATTGACCCGGGGTCATCGGGTGTTTGTAGGATCGGGTTGAGAGATTTCGGAGATAATTTTGAGGGCCCTGCCTGGCAGTTGTATCTATTGTTATTTGCGACTGATACACCGATGGGGGAATTCTGACCTTGAGGTGAAAAATGGGCAGGTGAGTGGGGGCTGCAGGTCGCGTTTGGTGACGTTTTTGCTCCGATTAAATTTGCCTGATCGATAAAATTGACTGGTGCATTGTCGATGTTCGAGCAGAGTTCTTCAAATAAAGGTTGGTTTGAGTAGCTGGCATTCGATCCGGGGTTTCCAGTCGAGCTATTAGCAGTTTGTTTTTGTACTAAGTTGCCTTCTTGTTCATTTGCGCAAGACTTTGGCAATACATTTAGGGAGCGTGGGGGTAACAATGTGTAAACTTCTTCTTGGTCTTGTTGCCCGCTGGGTTCGATCGAAAGACTGGCTGCGGCTGCTGCGGCTGCTGCCTTTTCACTGGCCTGTTCTTCTCCGGGAATTGGTTCTGTGCTGACGTGGTATGGAGCGTCAACAGCAGCGTCGTTAGTGTTGCGTGGTCCGCCGCGACGTTTGTTATCCGGCGGAGGATCTGGTCGGTCTAGTAGTGCTTTGTTTGGATCGGGGTTGTGGCGACCGGGAATTAGATTAAAGAGTCCGGTGGTCGAATTAAAACTGGAGTGCTGTTCTTTTGCTGGTGGAATTATTGCACAATCGGGACAGCATGCAGCTGGAAATAAAGGCACTACAGTGGGACGCTTCAAACTAGACTGTGCGTTGTGGCCGGGTGCAAGCTTATTGTCCCTATTTCTATCACAAAGAGCAGAGGAGTCAAAATGAGCAAGTGGAGCAGGGTCTTTGATTTGTGCGGCGGAGGAACTTCTTGTTGGCACTTTAAAGTAATCTTTATTTCCCGGCCAATGCACCAAGGAAACAGAATTAGAGGCCGCCGCCGCTGCTGCCTCGCAGGCCGACGACAACGAGGAGGAATCTGCCTTTGCTGCCGCTGACGCGTTGGAAGAAGGAGTGATATTTGGATTATTTGAACTGGGCTGCTCAGAGCAAGCAAAGTTTCCTATTGCGCTCTTATTTCCGCTGTAAATAATTCCTCCGCTGTCCTCCGGCGGCCTGTTATTGTTGTTTTTATTTTCGCCCTGCGGGTATTGTATAATGTGGGTTAAATCGGGGATATTATCATCCGCGACCCGGTTTGAAGTATGGCAGGGCAGCGCAACTGGCAAAGCTCTGCTCTCTAAATTACGCTCCTCTTTTTCAGCCGACGTTGTCGGAGCCGAACTGGTTCCACAAAACTGCCGATCGTAAGCAGAAACTGCAAAATTGTCGCAACGTCTTCTTCTGCTATCTCTCTCTTCGCCTAATTGGGACTCAACTTCCAAATCTGGATCGGCTCTTGACCAATCCGGCTCTGAATGATCTGAACCCAATTCTAGCCCAGCTCGTTCTAGACGTGGTAAAGTTTGTTCGGGCCCAAATGAAGTTTCACTGCAACTTGGTCCAGTAAAGGTTCCCTGGTAACTGCCAAGCGGCTCAAACTGTTGGGACAGCGAATGGTAATTTTGGGTCGAATTAACTCTATTTTTGATAGAACTGCTGTCCTTAGTGTCAGCACTAATCGTACCACTAACGTTCAACTTATCCGCGGCGGCTGCATTGTTTCTAGTAGCCGTACAATGATCGGAGAATTGGTAGTAAGCGGCGTCACCAACATAAGTTGTATCTCTGCTATTCACATTTAGACCAGCAGCACTGTTCGATCTATTATTTAAAACACTTTCGCTTCCATAAAATATATTCCCACAAATACTGCAACACAACTTTTTGTTTCTATCTTTATCCTCTGTACCACTTGTTGGTGCAACTCTATAACTTTTCTGGCTGTTTGAAAAGTTATCAACTTTCAAACCATGCGGCAGCGCAGATCTCTCACTACTATCAAATTGATCCAAGTCTTCATGAACTAATTCGAGGTTTTGGCTCGCATCTGAATCCTGAAGTTCAGCACTATGACCGCTTTTTGAGTTGTTGTTTGAAGTAGAATCGAAGTCATGTAAAACGGGATCCGGTTGGTTGAGAATAAGGTCCACGTTTTCGAATCGGTTCGCTTCTCTCTGGTCGTTTCCAGACTCCTTGGACCCATCACTTTTGGATCTTTCCATGGGTCTATACTTTAATGGTCATATCAAGATTGGACCCACCCGCCGTTATTTTTTGTCAAAAACATCTGGATATTTGTGGTCGAATGATTTTGATAAAATACTAGCGTTTGATATTGCTACTTTTCAGCTGTAGCCTCAATTGCGAGTAAGTAATACTCAATTTCCCAAAGAAGAATAACTTTAGAGCCATAATAGAGCCACAACGTTTGGATCTTTGGAACTTATAAAGGTCTCCAATGTCGGCCGTGAGAATTGGTATGTCAATGAAATATTGGATTTTGCAGGGTTTTCACACACGTAGATGAGGTGAATTTTGGGTCTAATAGAGAGGAAAAGTGTAATTATTGATAAAGCTCGATGACGCAAGTGAACTGAAATGACAATCAGCGCGAATCATTTGATTAGGATAGGCTAACTGGAAACACCTGAGAAAGAGTGGATATTTTAGTAGTAATATGGTAATGCTACCTTAACATCACTTGGGGCCATTGCAGGCGGGCGGCGTGACCAAATTACCCATTACCAGAAAACAATAATTCAATTTATTTTTGTTTGTTTGCTAAACACCGGATAAACAAGAGGTAATATGAAAAGACGGGGAGCTGAGAAAAGGCAAAAAAAAGAGTTTATACAGGCGCGTGTTTTACGCTTGATTAGATTATTGTGACGTCCTTATTTTTCCATATTTCCAATGCCGAAAAAGGTACTCTTTTGCCCCTCCCCTTTTCTTGTGTTATTAAAAATATATATGCCTTGTAATGTAATGTAATGCAGTGTGCTTTGTCTTCCTTCACCGACTTCGTAATTTTTCGAAAGATTGGCTTTATTGGTTTGGCTGGGACGATCAAAGAGTGAAACTAGTCTAGCATTTCTTGATTGCTTTTTACTTACCTTCTTTCTACTACATTACATGCGGTTCTTGTAATGATGGTATTAAGTGCAGCTGGCACACGACGTCAGAGAGCAGAAAGAATTTTTGTTTGGTGAAAAAGGAGTAAAATGGTTTTGTTTTGTTTTGTTTTGTTTTGTTTTGTTTTGTTTTGTTTTAAAAAACGAGTAAAGTGGTTTTGCTAATTAATTTTCTCAGATTTTCTTTCACCCAGAAAAAAGACTAAAAAACTTGAAGATAAAGGACCGTTGAAACAATTAACAAAAAAAGAATCAATGCCTTGAAGTCGGATTCCATCGCCATTTCATCAAATTGTTTTTTATTTAAATTCCGCAATATTTTTTCATAAAGCATATTTTCTTGAATCAATTCTGGTCTAAGAATGCGATCTATTCAAGGACTAGTCGACCGAATGCACGATCTTTTTATGATGAGGTATCCCCTTCGTTTATTCACCTTTTGAAGCTTTTCCCCGGCGACGCTGCTACAATAGAGGGACATAACTGTTATTGTACTTTTGCAGGATAAAACGAACGGCTGAACAATTTCAATTGTATAAATAAACATACCGCGCTACTTTGCACATAAAATCACAAGTTGATACTGCCGACAAAATAACCATGCCAAAATCTGGTTCGATCTCGATAAACACAACTGTTATTATCGTTTTTTTTTGCGGTGCGATTGAATATAATTTTTTTGACTTGAGTGCTTTTTGATTAAGTTGGTAAACGTATATCCTCAAAGCAAAACCAGGAGGCATAAAATTTGTATGAATTGAATAGTTCGAAAAGGTTTAAATCTGATATAACCGCTTCTATAGCTGAAATTTGATAGCACCGTAGGAGCAAGAAAAAGGAGTATATCTTCAAAAACATTTCATACGGCTCTAATGTACGGTCTTTTCAATTTTTTGAAGAAGGAATATAAAATAATTTTCACAGCACATGATCTATTTACATCATCCTGTTGTTATTTCTACCCTTGGGGTCAAATAAATCATTTTGTAAAAACAACAAAAGCGAAATTTTTTTGAGTCGACGCAAAAAAGACACAGAGGTTCTTTTTTGAACTCAGGTAGTTATAAATAAAACAATTCGGTTAATTCGATTTATACACGTCAGATAAGAAGTTTGATTACAAGATTTCATTGAGTTTTAATGACAAAAAACAGCCAAATTTTTATTTTTATATATGTCTAAGGAAACACTTCAGCGATAACTGCCCGCACTCAGTAAAAAGAGAAAATAGTAGATTATAATAGATTTTTATTGTCAGTCTCCATAAATTTCGAAAACAATTGATTATCATCGATTAAAAATGGATTATGTTACAATTTTTCGAAACAATAAAAATCATTATAATCGTTTATAATCGATTATAAACAATTATTTGTTGAAAAAACTTTTTCTCAAATTTTTTTGAGTTATAATCTGAGTTGGGATGGTAGGTCTAACTCATAGAGTAATTTCAGATAGGGTACACCGTCTGCTCGTCACGCTATCTCATTTTCGGCCGGATAGATTCGTGCAGCTTCTTAGTCTAATACCGATCTTAATCTTACTCTTATATCTCTTAGTCTCAATAGATGTAGAGTATACTGGTTTTGTTACGAGTCGGTCTCTTGGAGAAAGCAACTAAGTTGTAAGCTAAATTCAAATCGCTGTGGTGCTGAAATTACAAGTAATTTCAGCACTTACAAATAAGTGGGTTGTTAGTTTGATGGAGTGTGATTGGTTAGTCTTTAATATTTTATAGGGATAAAATATCTAAATTCTAACCAATAAAAATTTATAGTTTGAATCTGGTTCCACCCATCCGGGAATTACAGAGTTTTTTGTTCCTTGACATCTGTATCTGTCTGTAATGGAGGATGGATGATGGTCGTTTATATTTCGCGAGCATCATATTTATTCCGTTCTTGGAGGAGGAAGCTACAGGAAGCTGGAATCGTAGATATCATTCTGTCATTCAACAATGACTGTGACCGCCAACAAAATCAATCTGATTTCCAAATGGTTTGTTATGATCGTTTGTTCTTGTTCGCAGGAGAACTGTGTTTCGATCTTGTTTGGGAATGGCGTGAAGCTCAAGTTTGGAGGGAATGCCTTGTAACTCGGATCTGTACGTATTGAACATTGAGATGATCATTGGTCTGATTCAATGAAGTCCTTTGCTGTGATGTCAAGTCGTACTTCAAATCCTTTGAGTTGTGATTGTGGGCGGCATATCAGTTTTGTTCAGCCATTCTGTGGATTGAGTGTGATGGGGTCGTCTAGTTTCTTGATGCTTGTCTTCTTGATTATGTGTGATCTATATACTGCATTGTATAATTTACATATATAAATTTTTAGTTAGTTCTGTTTTTACTTATGATTTTTTATTAGTTTTTATCACAAAAGCTTTTAATTTAATTTTTTATTTTTGAAGAGTTACTCACTCTTGAGTAGCTCTTGTCAAAAATAGGGAGTGGGTCACAAAGTGTGGTTCCTAGCACGGTGGGTTAGGCCGGCTATAAGGCATGCTCAGGACGTCCTCTTCTGGTGGGTTAGGCCAGGAGTGAGGGTATGATTTTGTGCTGGTTTTTTATGGGGTCCTGTTTTGTATTAACTTTTTATGTTTTGTTTGTTACTGGCTTTTCCTTTTGTTGTTTTGGTTGTGTCCTTTTCTCAAAAATCAAATTTTTTGGTTTGGGTTTGTCTTTTGACTTTTTGGTGTTCTATTCTTTCTTTTTTAGATTTATCAATAGTCTTCAAAAGAATAAAATATCCAGTTCTTTAAGCTGGTGTAATCCGGTTTGGGTACCGTGGGTTTTCTTTTCTTAGTCATGCTGTTAGTTTGAGGTTTATGCTGTTTAGTAAGCTGCGTTGGTTAGTTTGGATTATTATATAATTCCTTTCCAACCGAGTTAAAAGAAAATTTGAAACTTGTTAATACTTATTTGAGTTGTTGTTGGTGAAAGTTAAAACTTAAAATCATTATTTTAAATAATTCTTCGTGGGCGAGTTGTGCGAGTGCGGATAGAATTTGTGTGCGAGTGAATTTTAGAATGAAAATTCTTTCAAAAAGTTAGTACTGCTTGAATTTGTATAAATTTACTACGGACATTTTCAAATTTACTGCTTTGTGGGGATTGGAATTACTAAATTATTTTTATTGTATTTAGATTTACTACATCGGGGAAAAGAATTTGTATATTAATTTACTACTGTGGGAAGAATTTTTACTGCATCATTTATTGCGGTTTGTTAATAGAGGCTTATAAGTTATGAAAAAATTTCTAATTTTTTCCGATTTTTCTGTTTGTAGATGATCGTGATCTAAAGACTAAAGAAAAACATTTAATAAAGAATGGTTAGTTTTATTTCGAATTTGTTAGTTTTTAATTTATTCAATTCATTCAATCCATGAGGGAAAACATCGTGGATTGCATTTGATGTGGTTACTAGCTTTGCTAGTATGCGAATAATGTTTTTAGTCTGAAGTAGTGGCCAAAGCAATTGGAGTGACTTAATGGTCTTTAGTTCTTCAGTGCCAATGGAAAATTCAAAAGGTGTGTTCTGGATAAGGACAAAAAGCTTGTGATTATACTAAGTATTGTGTATAAATCCTAAAAATGAAACTTCGACAGGTTGTATGTATTCGTGCGGGACAATTATTGGTCGAGATTCTTCTACATTGAAAGTTTTGGTTAGGCGATAGAATATATACATCTGGGTGATGGGATCATAGTTGAGGAGGATACCTTGAAGGTTAGTATTATTAATGCAAAATGTGAAGTTAATAAAACACGGTGATGTGTATTTAGAGTTAATGAATTGATATCGATGATGGGGTTGTCTTGATGGTGTATGTTAGTCAAAGTGATTTTGTCTGAATTTATAATAAGTGTAAGTCTGTGTCTGTTTAGTTCTCAACATGATGTCGTGTGAACAGTGCAAATCTCGTTCTTTTGGTGTCAAGAAGTGGTAGGTTATTGAGAAGGTTTTAAATTTTTCGTAAAATGATTCATAAGCTTGAGTATCTCAAAATGCTTCTGAAATGATGTGATCATGTTTTTTATATTCGTTAGCTCGGGGTGCGGTGAACAGTTCTAATAGCTTTTTGTATCCTACGTGTGTAAAATGTCGAGGTGTTAGTGCTGTAGTTAGTCTGAAAAGGTCCTTTTTATTTTTTTTCTATTTCTTGCGGTGTGTTAATGAGTGGTAAACAAAGTGGGTTTGAGAAGTGATAATATGATGTCCAATGGCGTGTGGGGATTAATACATGCTCATCGACATAGTGGGGTTGTTCAGTGTTAGGGTCGGAGTGAGTATATGTATATTGAGGGGAGAAGGATAAAAAGAATTGGAGAAATTTGGTAGTATTTGTATGGTTTATGTAGTCTCTTGCTATTCCTGGTTTGGAGGGAAACGGATGATTGTGAAATTTTCTTTTGGAGGTTCTATATGCACGGTAGAAGTGGATGATGATTGGTTTGATGTTGAGGATTGGGCTAAAGAAGGGTTGTAATCTGAAGAAGGTGTGGGAGTTGGTGGGTTTGATGACGTTATGGTTGATGATAATTGATGAATGTTTGGGGTTTCAGGGTGTTGTACTTGTTGTTGCAGTGTTATTAGGTTGTTTAGTTCGTATGATGTATGTGTGTCATCTAGGGAATTGTTGTTTGAGCGTTCATTCGTAAAAAGGTTATATGATGGTGTCACTTGGGAAATATGAGAGAAAGTAGAGGAGGATTCACTTTGGGCTTGGGATTGAATGGGTCGAAAGGGGGGTTGAGAAAATGTGGACGTGCTGGGTTCTGAAATAGCGAATTCGTCAGGGGGTTTCTAAATCTGAATTGTCGAATTGGGAGATTGTTTGAAAAACTGTGATGTCTGAGTTAGCATCAGAATCCATGACGGATGATGTGTTAATGTGGGTGTTTCAGGTGGCGGGAAAGCAAAAAGTGGGGTGATGGGAATTGGGTTTTG